CGCGTACCCCAAAAAAAAAAAAAAAAAAAAAAAAGTGTACTCTATGGAGTGGCATTGATGTCTAAACTCAATATAGACCCATGAGACGTTAGTTCCTAAGGTTTCATATACTGAGAACCTTAGGAAATATAAGTTCTCCACACCCGTGCTTAGTCTCTCAGTGAGTGACACTCCTAATCGGGAGGGGCTGTGTCCAGTTCACGTGCTTGAACCCTTTGCTCATGACCAAGTGCTTGGAAGATTTAGGGACTAGTGCCTGGTCACACCTCTCATTGTTAATAGAACTGGAATTCGGATGTATGGAGTGGTTGAAGGAAGTTGAGACTGAGATTTCTACCCTGATAGACCTTTACCGGTGAAACACTCTCATACTTGCAGTCAACTTGCCAAACATTGTCTGCTCTCTTTCTCCCGTGAGCAGATAGTTCTATGCATTTTCCACGGAACTTTAAAAACAAAAGACCTTCAAGTTGGTTGATTCCAGTGATAAAAACGTGACATACAATCGGGATTTTCTCTGGTTTACCCTCTTTAGACCCTGTGTCAGGTATCCTTTTAGTGCCTATGAACGATGTGACGTTCGAAAGAGAATTATGTTGTCTAACATCAAGCAGCTATCAGGAGGCAAGGGTGTCATGTCTACACACAAAATGTGAGCAGAAGTTCCAAAGATAAACTGCAAATAAACAGGTCACGTTTACAGCCAAATAAACACGAAGAAATCTAGAATTTTAGAAAAGAAGAAAACAAGTCTTTCCTTTAAGTACTTTCTGGAAATTGAGAGGTCTCGCCATCATGACAGACCTTAGGGGTTCTCACAACCCTGGCAATGATTTATTAGATAATAGAGCCAAAAAATTAAAACAGTGAGTTTAATTTCATCAAAACACAAATGTCTTCTATAAAAAACCTTTTAGAGAATTAAACACTGAAAGCCACACATGTGTATATAAACACATTCACACACCTACAAGCAAATGCAGAAATACACATGATACATATCTGACATAAGGAAATTATGTACATGTAACATTAGATAATTACATGTCACCTGTATAACAAAAGGCTCTGTCTTCATGTATCTCTGTGTGTAAGTATAAGACGAAAAACATGTTATTTGTCATATATGAAGATGCACACAACCCAAATAAAAGGGGAAATAACCCAACAAAAACTGGATAAATTATTGAACAGACACATCCAGAAGAATGGCGGTGTGAAACTGTGTACCCCCCGTTATTCGTCATTAGGGAAAAGCCAATTAAAACCCCAGTCAGATTCCACTTTCAATCAATGAGACTGGATGAAATTGCAGACGATGTTCATTCCAAGTTTGTTAAAAGGACATATTGCAGTTGAATGTCTTAAACACTGGGGGTGATAATCCAAAAGGAATTGTTACTGGATACTTTACCAATTCCTGTAGCTAAATATACACTTGTAGTAGGATAGCAACCACTCCATGCCTACCCAAGAGGACTGAGAGTATACGTCAACGCAAAGATTAGTACAGAACTATTCACATCAGCGTTAGTCGGAGTCATCACAGATTGGGAATAATAACACAGTTGTCCAATAACTGCCAAAATACGAATATTTATATCCCCATCGTCCTTTCACTGGGCCGTGAAAGATGTGACTCCTTGTGTATGTAGCCTCGTGGATGCATTTTTAAAGTACTGTGCTGAGTGAAAGAACCAGGAGAAAATGGTGCAGAGTGTATAATTGTTTGAAGTTCTAGAATAGGTGAGAAAATCAGATCAGTTGTTACCTCTGGCTAGATTGGCAGACATTTCATGGTCAGAGAGAGAAAGGGAATTTTCTGGGCTGATGGAAAGGTTTTATATCTTAACTGTGGTGGTGATTACACAGGTAATCATGGTAATCATATTGACATACATAAGGAAATTATGTACATGTAACAAATTATGTACATGTAACATAATCATGTCATAATTTCCTTATGTATATGTCAAAACTCACTGACCTTTGCCCGTCACAAGGGTGCATACAATTACAGATAAATAAACTTCAATAAAAAAGTGTGCACATATAATGTCAATTAAATGGGGCACAAACATTCTAAAACTAGCAAACAAGCAGGTAATGTATTCTTAAAAAAAAATACTGAGAAGTAACAGATACGTGTACTGGGATAGGATATGTATGTGTGTGTATGAGTGTGTGTATAATTTAATTATGTGTATATAATCAGTTGTATATTGTATAATAGATGATCAATCATATATATTTATAAACCAATCTCTCCAAGCATAAACCTCTTTTTTTTTTTTCTTAATGTTTTTATTCTTCAAAGTATGTGAAAACAGGGAGAGAGAGGTGGTTGGATTTACACGTATGTGGTTAGAAATTAGGTCTTCAGAAATAGACTTCAATTTCGTGTATAATTTTTGGTATCTGTTCTTCACTGTTTAGCATAGAAAAAGCTGCCCATCTCCTCCCGTTCCAGTTTCGTTCCGTTCCTAACAGGCTAATAACTTGGTCCTTCCTTTCAAGCCTTCATGCTTGGCTCTCTTCTGGACAGTAGATTTGCCTGGTGTTCATGCGGATAGAAATATTTCCTGCAAATCCTCTCTTTCCTCCTCGACTTTTTCTTGGCACCTTCCCCCTTTCTTTATACTGCCGTGTTTTGAATTATTAAGCTGTATTTCTCAGTGCCATCATGCCTGGATTTAAAGGACAGATAAAAGGAAACATTAACGTAAGTTACACCTACAATATAAATAGATATTTTAATCCTGTCGACAAGAGATCTCTGCACTGTTTGATGCTTTCGGATGCCCTATATTTCTTCGATTTAAATAATTCCTCCTGCTTCATTTCTTTATGTTTGGCTTCTTTTGCTTAAACTTAAATGTTAGTGTGGGAATAACTGTTCTTTCAAGGACGAAATCATCAAGTTACGTGTTTACATTTATTACTAATGTAACGTAAAATTTAAATGTGAGAGCGAGACAGACGGACAGACACCAAGATCTACAGTTCCTAAAATATTCTTTTTTAGTTTAAGGCATTGCCATTGATCTGTATGGTGAAGCTGAAACTTCAGAATTAAATTTGAGAATCCGAACCTTGTTTCTTTTATATTTCATGAGTTCATAGGAGAAGCAGAATCAGAAAGAAGTGGAATTTGACCGCTTCTGCATAACTCAATAGATACCCATTTCTGTTGTGGCGAGGTTGAAACCGAGAGTCGTTGGGCGTATAAGAGTCTTCAGAACAAAGTCTAATATTTCTTTTCTAAACCTCTGCTTTCACAGTGACCTCCACACCTACTACCCCAGCTCCCTGCTTCTATTTGCTATTTCCTGGGTTTTTAAATAAGTGGGTGCCTCTGAGGATGGCCGTATTTCTTCCTCTTCCTAGCTCTTTGTTTAGAAACCCCAGTCCCCCTTCAAAGCACCCACTGTGTGCATCACATTCCTCGTGTAATGTTTCAGACTCCTCGTGTTCCCACCCTCTCCAGTTTCCTGGTGCCGCCTTTCCGCCTCATCCATAACGTTATTGTAGAATTTCACGTACAATATTGTTATTAGCATGTGAATCTGTATCCCTCACTCTCCTTTCACCAATGAAGGTCAAAAACATATTTCTTCATCTTCTCTTATTCATTTGAGTTCTTAGTAAAGCACCTGCAGTATAGTTAGCATTCCATGGGTAGTACTTGGGGCTCTGACAGCTCTAATAAATTTAGTCGCGATTGAACATCGCTGTGCGTAAGCCTTTCAGGGCAGAGCGCACTGCGTGTCCTCTACCTGCTTGCAGCTTCTGGGGCGCAGTGGGAACCATCGCTCACCAATGCCACGTGAAGGATTCAAGCCCCTGGCTGGGACTGTCGGGGTCGAGGGCAGGGTCCTCTTCCTGCTGCTGTGTCCCTCCTTCCTGTCATGAGTTGATGCCAGTGGACCTTCTGGGACTCCTCCCCCTAAGCAAAGGCTCCAGGACATTCCCTGGAGGCTTAGAGCGGACCTGATCCCACAACTCGAGAGGCCGTTCTCAGCCCCATAACCCAGGGAGTCATGCTCATCGACATATCATCCCGATAATTCCCTGCAAACATGGAAGCCAGACCCTCCCTCAGGCTACGGGATTTATATGTGGTTTCCTTCTACGTTATTTTTGCTACTTGACAAAAAAGTTGAAGGTTGCTCTGTCATTTTCATCACCAAGATGAATATGACGCATATAAACCTTGAATGGCCCATTCTCACTGGTCTTCTCTGGGTTATTGGATGCGACATAAAGGGTTTTCCATTCTCCTGAAAGGTGAAAGCAAAATTCTCTGCAGAAATTTTACTTCCTCTCTTTTAATTTTGTCTGGCATCATCCCTCAGGAGCTTCCTTTCTCTTTTGCACATCAGCACAAATTATCTAACTTTACTGAACAAAGCCGGATTTATAAACTTGTGTGACTACCCAAATCAGTGGTAAAGGAAGAAATGGAAATATTCCTGAAATAGCTTACACTCTGTTATCAAATGCAAAAACTCCAGTCCAGCTGTTAATTTGCCGGTTCACCTTCTCTTTTACAAGCAGAGTAGAAATGGATGAGGACCCTATTAAAAGACAATATAAATACACAGAGACCTTGGAAGACATGTTCAGTAGAAGTGTATATGGACCCAGGTAATGGAGGAATTCTGAGTCAGAGGAGATGGCTAGGCTTTGGGGCAGATAAATTTGGATACACGTATATAAAGCCCCAAAAGGGGACACACGCACACACACACACACACTCACACACACACACATCTGCATCCACATCCATAAAACAACCATCAGACCCCCTTTTTCCAAGGAGCCTTTTGTGATCTTTCTTCTACAGCCTGCCCCGCCTCCATGAAATCTTAATAGCAGAAATAACTGTCTGTCTGGTTACATACACTATTTGTGTCTGGGCTTTGTAGTTTCTAGAACGTGATTCTTTTTAACCCACAAGGAATCCCTTTTGGGCCCCTTTTAGGGGCAGTATTGCCACCACTGAGAATGCATGTCCTGGAAAAATGCCCCCTGATAATTGATTATATGAATTCCATAGTGCACTGTATCATTCCTGGGGGATCTCAGGCATTTGCTGGTGTAGCCAAAGCAGCCCCTACTCGTTGCTTCATATTCTAATAATAGTTATCATTATTATTGCTATTATTACTATTATTATGTTTTAGTCTCAACTATTGTTAGGGAGAAGTTTTCAGGCTCAGAAAGGGCCGGGCTCAGGTCTCCAAATGGGGACAGCAGGAGCAAGGGTCTTCATCTTGCCGTCACGCAGTTTTCTCTCCAGAAATCTCTCCTCCCCAAGCCTCCTGTGCGCCCCTCGGGCCATCCAAGATCCCACAGATCCATCCAAGCAGACAGGGAAAAAGAAACTGCAAACCTCGGTCACACCTCCAGCGTCTGTGCTAACTTCAAGATGCACGTGTGGCCCATTTCAATCTTGAAAATAGGCATTGACCGAACTAGAGGAGACGGTCCCGTAGTTTGTACAAATGTCAGAGGGGCAGCTTCCTGCCGGAAGGGCAGGCACCGCGGTCTCCCCCATTATCCGTGCACTGCTTTTCACGTGCATAGTGTCTGTCCGTTCTTTATTTTCGTCTCGGTGTGTGTATTTATTTTGCCAGATAGCGGGCATGGCGTTCTTGTGGGGCCGTGGCACCGAGCTCCGTTGTTTGTCACCATGTTTACCGTCCATGAACTGTGGAATTTCTTCCCCCTCCCCATCCCTGAGTTACAGTTCCATATTAGCTAGTCCCGCGTTTGAGAAAAAAGCCAGTCTCAGCATAAATAAGTTGCGCTGGAAACGTATGAGAGTTTCCTCTCAAACCCTGCCTAGCCAGGTGACCTGCGCTCAAGGACAGCACTTAACGAACCTTCCTAAACTGTAGCCATCTGGTGACTGTGTTAGGAGACAAATTCAGTATCTCTGGAATGAATGGGTGTCTCAGATTTTTAAAAAATAGCTATTAAAAAGTATAGCAGATGTTCAGTGTCTTGGAATAACCTGTAATGGAAAAGAATCTGACAAAGAATATGTATGTATGAGAACCTGCTGTATAGCACAGGGGACTCTACTCAGTGCTCTGTGGTGACCTAAATGGGAAGGGAATCCAAAAAAGAGGGGATATGTGCATACGTACAGCTGATTCACTTTGCTGTACAGCAGA